GGGGAATATAATATTACAGTTTAGCAAAAGGTATCGTTTGGATGTTGAAAGGTCTTCACAGTATGAGTCTAAAATGTGAGAATTCCCGGAAACCAGCTATTTTAGATTTGATTAGACTTGTACTAGCTTTTTTTTAAAATTCTTTCGAGTACTGGAGTTCCTTGGGTCACCAAAAAGTGAATATTAATTAACTGATTCAAGCACACATTCTTTTGTGGAAATTCAACTAGATAACTCCATACGATTAAAAAATGGATTGCTGGATTAGGCTTGATTATTAGGTATTTGAAGATAAATAGAAAGACGTACTAAGACGAAGTTTTGGCAGGAATTTTGGTCTTATGAAAATAAAAAGAACTTAATGCTTATAGAGGACTAACGAACATCGGATCTTTCAATTTTGTCTTTTCTCATCTAAGCCGTAATAACGGGGTAACTTTTAGCAAGTTCCTTGTATAGAGTTACTTGTCAAATACTTTAGTAGAAGATGCAGTCATTCCTTGGCTTTTTGTGTGAGCCTACACTTTTAAGTCACCCTCTAGTTTGAATAATTTCATAAAATGAACAATTTATAGTCATGAATGAGTAATAAAAGACTTACAATATAAGCTCGTCGCCTAATGAAGAAAAGGATTGTTTATAAGTAAATTACTTGATTTATCAACTAGAAAGAAGACAAAAAATAATGGAAGAAAGACGTCTACGTAGATAATCAATTTATGGGAAGGAGATATGCCTCTGAATAGCACAGTGTCAATGGGAACCAATCGAAACCAACTATTTAGGCGATCGTAGTGACGGATGGTGAACGAATTCTTGGTCTTGGAGATCTGGGAGCCTATGGTATCGGTATACCAGTTGGTAAGCTAGCCCTCTACGTAGCACTGGCAGGACTACACCCAGAGTGGTGTCTGCCTGTACTCATAGATGTCGGCACTGATAATCAAGCAAGTGTTGGGCTTGTTTTTGGGATTCACTTATCTTAATCTTTATATCCAGAATTTGCTGAACGATCCTTTCTATACCGGTTTACGAAGGCCACGTGTTCGTGGACCAGAATACGATAGTTTGCTTGATAACTTTATGAAAGCATGTACAAAGAGGTAATGGCTCTTAAAATGTAGGTTTGAGTAGAGATTTGATGTTTGATTTGCAGGTTTGGTCGCGACACCCTGATTCAATTCGAGGACTTTGGTAATCAGAATGCATATCGCCTCCTGGATAGGTTTAAGAATGATTACTGTATGTTCAACGATGATATACAAGGTAGTTTTTAAACTAAGCCTTTTTTTTGATTCAGAGTTGATTGCTTGATTTGTTAACAGGTACTGCTTCCGTAGTTGTAGCAGGTTTGTTAGCGACTACAAGAATCACTAAGAAGAAGTTGTCACAGCAAAAGCTCGTGTTCTTTGGAGCAGGAGGGGTTAGTTTGATTTCACGGAGTTTGTGGTACTTCGTATAAAAATGCTGGAGAATCATGAATGATTTAACGCTTTCTGTTTTCACTTACAAGCTGTTTGCTGTATTTTTAAAATAATGTATGCTATTTTCTCGTTATTTAGTTCATTGCTTGACTTGGGAAAAAGGGGACAATATTCA